AACTTTTTAATTAATTAATTTTTTTTTGTTGCATTTTTTTATTTTCAATTTGTTTCTTTAAGTTTTTGTTTTTTATTAATAATCATTAATTTTTAAGCATTGCACAGCGTGGTTTATATAACTAAATATTTTTTGTAGCAGATTTTGTGAATTATTTGCTATTGCGTCGCTATTCATTGCTTCACGTTCACAATCCAATACTTTTCGTTTTATTAAAAAATTAAATTTTTGAGTACAAAAATACTTTTCCAATTATATTGAAATCAGTTTAAATAACTCACGGTGTATGCTTTCAGTGCCAACACACCGAAACCCGAAAAAAAACCAAAAAATTATAACAGAAAATTAACGAAATCACACACAAATCGTTGCAGCCTTCACTTTTGACTTCACAGACAACAAAAACATGAAAAAATGAGCATAATACGAAAATTAACTCCAAGTCCAGCTGCAACGGCAATCGAGGAGTAAAATTGTGGCCAACAGTAACATTGTATGCCAGCATAAACGCACCAATACACTGTTACACGCATTTACACACACACACACATACACATACAAGTGCAAGCACACTTCCACGAAACCAAAAGGCACACAGCTTCACACACAGTTGTTTTTGTATATTTTTTTAAATTATCTTCCTTTTTGTTTTATCAATTTTACTTAGTATGTTTGTTTGTATGTGTGTGTACGTGTCTGTTTCACTCTTCACTTGCGCCTTTCTTCACCTTTCCACACGTTGATGTCGTCGTTCTTTTCGGCCACAACTCTACGAAGACAATACTTCATTTTCGAGCGCGCAGTTTAAATAAAAACCTGTTCGCACACAAGCAAATGCACGCACACATACAAGCAGGCTTCTGCATATACCCATACACAAATATTTGTTGCTTCAAGCTTCATACGTGAGTAGTTATGTGCTTGTGTATGTGTGTTGAAATATTTAACTTTTTTCTTCTGTCTCACTTTGTTGGCGTTATTGCTGTTGTTGTTTTTTTAAGTATATAAAAATTGCTGTTAGTTTTTATTTTCACTGCACTTTTTGGACATTTTTTTGGTAATAAAAAAATTTTATTTTTTTAAGCGCTCAAATATTTTGGAATTTTCACACAAAGGATTTTTGGGTATTTTTTTTTCGTATATGTACCCTGTTTCTTTTTAATTTTTAATGAAATTCAATATGCACTAAAACGGAACCATTTTTTTTTTTTTTWAATAATAAAATTTTAATTTTGTAAGTATACACATATGTAGTTTTCAAACTCTTATTAATTTTTTTAATATTATATTATAACATTTTAATTTAAGTTTTCCGAATGAGTTCAATATTTTTTTTTTATTTTTCATATGCATTTTGTATAATTACAAATTTGTAAAGAAAATACATGTTTTTCTCTAATTTTTGCTTGTCTGATTTGATCTTAAA